GAGAAATATAGATGATAGATATAGATAGAAGACATAAAAGATAGATAGATAATAGATAAAAGACAGATATAAAAGATAGATAGAAGATGCATAGATGATAGATAGTTGATAGAAGACAGATATAAAAGATAGATAGTAAATAGATAGATGGAAGACATATAAAAGATAGTCGACAGGCAATAGTAGAAGACATATATAAAAGATAGATAGATGGAAGATATAGATAGATAGATATAGACAGATATAAAAGATAGTAGATAGATAGATGGAAGACATATAAAAGGTAGTCGATAGACAATAGTAGAAGACATATATAAAAGATAGATAGATGGAAGATATAGATAAATAGATAGACAGACAGACAGAAACGCTTAATTTCCCCCCTAAACTAAGAAATAGAAATTCTGGAATTTTTTGCTTTGGGGAGGAGTAGTGTGGATTCTCCAGATATTTCTCATGGATAGTGTGCAGAGAAAAGCAACGAAGATGATTAGGGGGTCTGACGCTAAAGCCATAAGTCACTTTTTTCAGCGTCTTTGAACCCAGCCCTTAAATAGTGGTAAATCGAGTCTACGACCATCATTCAGTGACCGTCAGACTTTACGGGTACCTTCCAAAGTTCCATCAACTCCCCCCCCCCCCCCCACCCCGCTCCTCCTGCGGTCACATGGCTGCATCTTAGCCCTCAGCAACCAGACCATGGTTCCAGTCATTTGCAGCATCCCACGGCCTTTTTGGCCACAAACCAGCATTTATATCTGATTTATATTGATTTTAAAATCAAGTCGGTCGCAGGATGGCCCGCTTTATACACTGTCATGACTTACAACCATACCAGGCCAGCTCCATTACTGTCGTAAGTTGAGGACTACCTGCAATACGTAACATTGGACAGCACTTTTGTCTGTGTTTTTATCATTCTTTTTCTCTCTCTCTGTTCTTCCTTCTGGAAGAAAATGCCTCAATTGCAGGCTCACCTTCGTTCTGAATCAAAGTCCTGCTCTATGACTATTTTTTATGTGTTCTCTACAATCCAAAGTTGGAATTCAAGTAATCCTCAACTTATGACGACTGAGCCCAAAATTTATGTCGCCGAGAAATTTGTTAAGTGGGTTTTGCCCTATTTTACGACTTTTCTTGCCACGTTTGTTAAGTGAGTCAGTGCCGTTGTTAAAGGAGTAACCCAGTTGTTAAATGAACCTGACTCCCCCATTGATTTTTCTTGCCAGGTGGTCACAAAAGGGGATCGTGTCATCCAGGAACGCTGCAACTGTCATAAATGGGAGTCAGTTGTCAAAGCATCCAAATGTAAATCATGTGACCTTGGGGAGGATGCAAAGGCCATTAAGTGTGACAAATGACCCTAAGTCACTTTTTTCATTGCCGCTGTAACTTTGAACGGTCACTAGGTGAACTGATGTAAGTCGAGGACGACCCGTACTCTTAACCAAGCCCACCACACAGGGTGATTGTTGCGAGGATCAAGAGGCAGAGGGAGGCATTCAAGAGCTTCTGCTTCAAAGGTCTACTCATCCTCTACTCTACTCAGTGTCATGCCCCTGTTGGAGTCTGACTCCGAGGCAGAGGAGAGGAGGAACAGCCGACAGGGAGTGGGAGTGTGGCTCCAGAGGTTGTGGAGGAGGCTGGAGAGGGGCACAGGCCGGCTGGGCAGAGGAAGACCCAGGCCCATCCCCTCTTCATCCTAGGGCACGCAGGGAGGAGAGGATAAGGGAGAAACCTGAATGGCGTGATCTACGGGGAGGAAAGGGCCCTGATCCCCTTCATGGGCTGCAGCTGTGAGGACTGTTTAAAAGGACAAACTGCGCATGGGCCAGTGCTGGAAGCAAACCGTGAAATAATTCTAGTCTGTCAGTTCTTATCTGAGTTCTGGCGTCCTTCCCAGTGTGTGTATTTCTATATCTGTGGACGTCTTCAAGCCCTTATCCTGCCTTGTTTCATTCATTGCTTCAGTGTGGTTTGTGTTGTTGTTTTTTTCTATTTATAATTTATATGTATTTTGAATTTGAATGGAAGTTCTTCCTTTTCGCAACTGTTTGTGGGGGAGTTTTTCCTCCAGTCAATGATAATTGGAGCTTTGAAGCCAAGTGGAAGGAATTAAAGGGACTTTGTTGCTTTTGTATCCCACCCAGGCAGCCACGCAGAATGGAAAAGAAAGGGCTGAAAAGGCACAGACAGCCTCAGGGGTGAGGGACTCCTCCTCCTCTGTCCTCAATGAAGGAGGAAGACCCCTGATGGGGGAAGGAAAGACGTCCCTTCCCGCCCCTCACCTTCTCAACTGCATCACGGCCACATCTTTGGAGCTGTTGAAGTCCAGCTGGCGGAGGAAGCGGTCCTTGACGTAGTAGAGCATGTTGCCGTGCACGGCGTAAGCTGGCCTCTCGCGCTCCAGCTTGAAGACAATCATCCCTCCGTCGTGACCTGGGGAACAGAGGAGGGCAGAGAGCTTCCAGAACAGTAGTGAGTGGCACCTGGTTTACGTAGTGAATGCAATGGGCTTCGCGACCCCCTTAAACCAGGTTTTGCAGGGCTCTTGGTGCTCTCTGAGCTTGGCTGTTTGCTTGCCAGCATTTCATTACCCAAACTAGGTAAACTCGTCCGTGCTAGGAGGGAAGGGGGCATTGGTCTGGGACAATCGAGCGGTCAACACTTTGTCGTGGCATGTCGGCTGATGGCCTCTTCAGCAGCCAAAGCAAAGGAGGAGGCCTGGGAGTCGGGGTCAGCATCGGGGCAACCTGGGAGCTCCGAGGGGGAAGGGGGAATGGAGTTGGGAGAGAGAGAGAGAGAGAGAGAGCCTGGGCCGTCCGTCAGCCCTCAGATGGAGCGTCCACAGCCCCCAGGTCTGGAGGTGGCTGATGGGAAAGAGGAAGAACAGCCGGGTCCAGTGTCTGATGAGCGGATGCACAGAAGGCAGAGGAGAGGAGAGCCGTGGAAATCTATGGGCTGGTCCTTGGGATAGAAGAGACACCACGGCTAGTGAAGCCCCACCCTAGCTCTGGGGACTGACGCGCGGATGGACAGAAGGCAGAGGAGAGGAGAGCAGTGGAAATCTATGGGCTGGTCCTTGGGACAGAAGAGACACCACGGCTAGTGAAGCCCCACCCTAGCTCTGGGGACTGACGTGCGGATGGACAGAAGACAGAGGAGAGCAGTGGAAATCTATGGGCCGGCCCTTGGGATAGAAGAGACACCACTGCTAGTGAAGCCCCACCCTAGCTCTGGGGATCAAAGGCAGGGGGCAGAGATGAAGAGGTCTGGCAGACAACTATTCATCTTCCTGTAGGACAGACTTGTTAGCCTGTGGTGAGAGAGAAACTTTTTGCTGGGGCTACCGGCGTTCCTAATTAAAGTCCTCTTTTGAGTTCACTTCAAAGGGTTTGTCGTGTTTGGGGAGCTGGGGCAGAACACAACTTCCCCAATCGAGGAATTACCAAATCTGATAAACAATCGAACAGTAAATAACAGCCTAACCAAGGAACCACCAAGAACGCTCCCACCAACACCGACAGGAGGAAGAGAGGAAGCCCCTCTCCTTTCTAGCACTGAAGATGTTACCTAGTTGGGTAATGAAATGCCTGCAAGGAAATAACCAAGCTCAGAAAGCAACGAGGATTCCACAGTCCTCCTCCTCCTTAGGTAGTCCTCGATTTACCACCACAATTGGGCAAGAAAATTTAATTAATTATACATTGATTTTTAACAACATTGACAAACACAAACACAAAACATCCAATAAAACCATCCTTCCATTATACAGTGTGTCGGCTGGTACATATCTTTTGTGCACAATATCAACAGTCTTTCCCTCCTAAATTTAAATTTAAATTCATATTGTGTTAATCAAGTATCCATGTCATATTATACTATTGTCAAATCATTATTAGACTTTAATTACAGATTCCCGTCATCCCTTTTGAGCAAATCTGGGCAGGAAAATCTGTTGTTTTGCAGTATGGTCATTAAGCGAGGCATCATGTGACCACATCCGGTTTTACATCCTTTTCTTGCCAGCGTTGTAAAATGAGACATGATGTGATCGCAACTTGCAACCTTTTCTGCCACTGTCCTCAATTGACATTGTCAGTTAGCTGGGAAGGTTACAAAAGGTGACCCTGGGAGACTGCAACCGTCATAAATGTGAGGCGGTTGCTAGGCACTAGATCATTAAGTGCAACTTCCAGTCATTCAGCACCATCATAACTCTGGTCACTAAACGAATGGTGTAAATCGAGGACTTCGGTAATGTGGGGATCAGGTGTGGCAAAAACCCCTGGATTACCCTTTCAGGGCCACCCTCCCCCTGAAATTTTTCAGCCCCACCTGAAGGCCACCCCCAGATCCTTTACCTGCCGCGAAGAGGTTAAGGTTCGGATGGGCTGCCAACACCCAGAAGCGGTCGTGATCCCGGCGGAAGGTCTGAACGCCCGTGCTGGCGATGGAGGAAGGGAGGGAAGCAGAGAAAAACACCTGGCCGTGAATTGTTTGGCTTGGAATTTAGGGATGGATAAAAGAGGGAGCAAAGAAGATGGACCAATAATAACAATAACAACAATAATAATAATAATAATAAGCCAGTGAGACATCAGAACGAATGCAATCAAAGCCAGAATAGAAAAATCTGCTGATGACCCCAAATGCAGACTCTGCAAAGAAGTGGACGGAACCATTGATCACATACTGAGCTGTTGCAAGACAATCGCTCAGACTGACTACAAACAACGTCACAACACAGTCGCTCAGATGGTCCACTGGAACTTGTGTCGCAACTACCACTTGCCTGCAGCAAAGAACTGGTGGGATCATAAGCCTGAAAAAGTGGTCGAAAATGAGCATGCAACAACTACTGTGGGACTTCCGAATACAGACTGACAAAGTTTTGGAACACAACATCCCGGATGTCACAATTGTGGAGAAGAAAAAAGTGTGGATCATCGACATTGCCATACCTGGTGACAGCAGAATCAATGAGAAACAACTTGAAAAAGCCACCAGATATCAGGACTTGAGAATCGAACTGCAGAGACTCTATCTATCTATCATCTCT